AGGGAGAAGGAGAGATAAAAACATCAATGATGAGAGAGAATTGCTGATTAGTTGCCTCATGCATGACTCCACCCCCACACTGGGAATTGAGCCTGCAAACCATGTATGCGCCCTGAACAGAAAAAGAAACAGTATCACATGACCTCATCATTTGTAGAATATAATAGACAGCATAAATTTATGAACAAAAAATAGATTCAGAAACATAAGCGTCAAACAGACTGTCAAACTTCAGAGGGAAGTCAGGGGAGGGAGGGGTTAAGGGATCAACCAAAGAACCATAACCTCCTGGTTCACAGGTCGAGCTACACCAACTGGGCTACATTATTTTAAAATTTACGAAAATACATACATATATATATTAAATATATATTTCTTTATTGATTTCAGAGAGGAAGGGAGAAGGAGAGAGAGATAGAAACATCAATGATGAGAGAGAATCATTGATTGGCTGCCTCCTGCACACCCCCTACTGGGGATTGAGCCCGAAACCCAGGCATGTGCCCTTGGCCGGAATCGAACCTGGGACCCTTCAGTCCGCAGGCTGATGCTCTATCCACTGAGCCAAGCCAGCTAGGGCAATACATATATTTTGTATTGTTGATAGTATTATTGATGTCTCCCATTTCCCCCCTCTGTGTATACTCTTCGGTGGATCTCTTGCATTCCTCCCACCTTCTTCCCCTCAGAGATTTGTTAGTCTGCTCCAGTTAGCCAGGCCTCTGGTCCCATCTACTCCCTCCCCAGGCATCACTTGCTGGGCCACAACACCTTTATTCACGTAAATTAGGCGAAGTCATTGGCTGGGATGCCAGTACTCCCCTGGGCGGTTGAGAAAACTACATTACCCAGAAGGAACTGCACACGTGTGGGCAGAGCTAAAGGGCATTTTGGTGGCTGCGCATCCAGTTAGGGCGGGATTTCCGCCTTTCTCCTCCCTGTGGTCATTTTTACTTTTTAGGTCTTTGTTCACAGACTCACAGGCTTCAGGGACCTGGTCGTGAGGAGGAGGAGGCCTGGGAGGCAGCGTGCCTGCTGTGCAGGGTGTGTCTGAGACTCCTTGAGCCCCAACAGCCCGAGATTGGGGTCCCCGTGCCTCCCGGACTCCTCTCTGCTCACAGCGTCCCTGCAGCCTGACCCCATTTCACCCTCCAGCCTTGAGACCGGCCTCTCAGGTCCCGCCGCCCAGGTCCCAGCGCTCAGAATGGTGAGTCCCTCGTGGCTGACGGGGGGGAGAGGGTGAAAGGCTGCAGTGCCACCTTGTAAGGACGTGATGGTGCGACTGAACTGGGAGGATTCGGAAACCCGGGCCTGTTTTGGGTGTAAAGCAGTGGTTCTCAACCTTCCTAATGCCGCAACCCTTTAATACAGTTCCTCATGTTGTGGTGACCCCCAAATTCATTGTTACAAATTGAACATAATTAAAGCATCGTGATTAATCACAAAAACAATATGGAATTATATGTTTTCCGATGGTCTTAGGCGACCCCTGTGAAAGGGTCGTTCGACCCACGGGTTGAGAACCGCTGGAAAGGCAACAAAGAGATGCTGTGTGGTTTTGCATGAGAAGTTTTCCTTTCACTCTCAGAACGCTGGGGCCATAGATGGTTGTGAAAAAAACAGGGACATTTTCTGGGGTTGGGTTCTAACTTTTCCTAATATTGCTCAGAGGAAGGACAGACTGGAAGACAGAGGACAGCAGCTGTGGGCAGGAAGGGGAAGTCCTGTAAGTGATAAGGGAACTGGCAGAGTGAGCCCTGAGGACTGAGCCCTGAGATAACACAGGCATCTGGAGGGCACCTGGCCTCTGGGCTGGGCAAGGGTACTGAGCAGCCTGACCCTTAGAGCCAAAGTAGCAACAAAATAATTTTATGGTTGGGGGTCACCACAACATGAGGAACTGTATTAAGATTCTAACATGCAGCCAAGGTTGAGAACCACTGCCTTAGAGCCTGGTGGGTGCCAGGCTCTCAACAGACCATTTTCTTTCCACAAATTCTGCAAATGCAGAATCAATTAGGTGTACGGGTTTGTGGAGCTTATTTCAGGGCCTCACCGCCTTGTGGCCTCTGAGATAGTAGAGTCCTGGGACCGTCAGCTGCTCTTGTATCCCTTGGTCCTGGGGACTCTGAACAGACACTAAGCCCAGACTCCTAAGGGCAGGACTAGGGCTTCATGAAGTGGACCTTGTATTTGGCAACCAGTGTAATGAGTGCGAGGTCCTCCAGACATAGGTTCCAGAATGTGCAGACTTGGAGTGAAGAGTGAGCTGATTCAGAAACCCATAGATTTTTTAAAATACATATTTATTTTTATTGATATTAGATGTAGAAGGGAGAGGGAGAGAGAGGGAAACAGGAAGGAGCAAAAAACAAGGATTGGCCGAAACCGGTTTGGCTCAGTGAATAGAGTGTCGGCCTGCGGACTGAAAGGTCTCAGGTTCGATTCCGGTCAAGGGCATGTACCTGGGTTGCGGGCACATCCCCAGTGGGAGATGTGCAGGAGGCAGCTGATCGATGTTTCTCTCTCATTGATGTTTCTAACTCTCTATCTCTCTCCCTTCCTCTCTGTGAAAAATCAATAAAATATATTAAAAAAACACACACAAAAAAAACACAAGGATTGGTTGCCGCCTGCACAATCCCAACTGTGGATCTAGCCCACAACTTAGACATGTGAAGTTACCAGTGCATGGGTCTATGATCAATCAACTGAGACACATCAGCCAGGACTGTACATCACTTTAATACAGGGAATCATGGTCAGGTTGGTAATAGTGGTAGTAGCTCAGAAGGGACAGTGTGAGCATAAGGACTGGCTTTCTTGCTGGGGCCACTGTTTGTGGGAGGTGGGTGTCACAACACAGCGTAGGGACAGAAGTTGTCATGTAGAGTGTGGGGGAGAGAGAATCATTTTTGCAGTGGCCAAGGCCTTTAAAAGATGAGTGGACCTGAGGTTAATTGGAGGCCGAAGAGTAATTCAAACAACATGAGACTAGGGCTGGTACATAACTTTTCTAAACTCTTACCAGGATTTTGTTGTGACCCTTGTTGTGTCCTGGCTGTGGGTATTTGCAGTCAGTCTTGTGGATTAGCTAAGAGGCTTGAGTGGTCATCTGTGAGACTCACTGGGCATGGTGCAGAGGACAATCGGGGCTGGGACTTGAGTGAAGGTTAAGTGAGAGAAAAGGGTTGTGGCTTGTGAAGGGACATCAAGTGCAGCATAAGAGGAGATGGGCTATGAATATCTGAGATCTGATTGTTGTTTTAATAGTTGTGGTTGAAGCCAAAACAAACAAACAAAAACAGTCATGGAGAGAGGCCTACATAGCAGGACTCAAGGCTGCCTCTATGAGTATGCACCATCAGAGTCTGGGCAGTATTTGATCCTGATTCAATTTGGCAACCATCCTCTGGATCACATATGCTGAGTAATAAGTAAAAGGCCAGGAGATGAATATGGGGGCTGGGGCTGTGGAAGTTCAGGCTTGAGAGAGGTGTGGTAGAAAAAGTGATGAGCACTTGGAAAGGGAAGTGAATTCATGGCCACAGCACCCTGACATTGACATATGAATGAATGAAGGAAGAGTCTATTTCTGGTGATGCCTGGATATAACAATAAGGTGAATTTTAGGGTAATTGCCTGTAAAGAGAGGGGTATGGGTGCTACATTCTAGGTTAAGAACTTAGGTGCCATTTAAATAACCACCTGCCTTTTGTTGTTGAGATTGACTCACAGTTAATGGGAATGAGGTAGCATTCATTAGTGTTACCCAGGTTTGTAAATCTCCACTGGCATGGGTAAGGAAGAAGGGTAAGAGAGAACGAGATTTTGGAGGTGGTGAACTATAATTTTGGAAAAGAAGGTGATTAGGATAAAATTCATCCACGCCTCTGCATGTTTGCATTACGTTTGAAGTTGTGCCTCTGGGAATGAAGCTCTGTGAGAGAATTGTTCAAAGAGCTATGTGCAGCAGATTGTGAAAAGTGATGGCCTCAGCACTTTGGGATTGGGGTCAAGAGGGTAAAGTGTGATGCCATGTTTTTAGTGTCTTAGAGAAAAATCAGAGGGACTATAAGGCTAATTCCTGAGAAGATCAGTATCAAATCACTCACACTCTCTTTATTGCTAACATCCCTCTCTAACCTATGCTTTTGACACCCACTCTATTGATAAGAGGCAGTGTGGTATACATGGGAGGTCCAGAGCTCAGGTATTGTCTATCTGCTCAACTTCCTTAATTGTTATGGGAAAAAATATGACTTATAATCTTAGGAGTGAATCTGATCATGGGCTGTACTGTCCCCATTATGCCAGGATATGAACTTTGAGGACGTGGCCATTGCCTTCTCTCAGGAGGAGTGGGGGCTCCTTGATGAGGCTCAGAGACTTCTATACCGCGATGTGATGCTGGAAGTGTTTGCATTTGTATCATCTGTAGGTAAGACCTTCACATTCTCCCAGTGTCCTCAGATGATGACCTCTCTTCCTTTATTTCTCAGCCATAGCTTTCTCTCTCCCACAGCCAGAACATGGCCTCTGCTAATTTCCCCTACTTTCCTGTCAAATGTGCAGTGGCTGCCAGGGATGAGCTGGAAGGGGATCCCTGAGCAAAGGACTCCACAAACATCCCTAAACTTGTAACCTCAAAAAGTACAGGAAATGTTAGGGAGTCCAGAGTCTTGCAGTGAGCTTAATGGGTCCCAGCTTGTATTTTCTCTTCATGGGAGGCTGACAATGTCCACAAGCATGGCTTCCACTTCTGCCCTCTTTCTCTAGGTAAAGGTTCTTTGTGGCAACCTGTGCCATGTTATGGTCTTTACCTACACGAACCATTGTCTGTTCTTGTAAGGCCCCCATTCGAATGTTTGTAATATTCTCTTCCCTGAATACTATAGCAAGCTGTATTGCTCTGGCCCAGTGGTGACTGCTCATTTCTGTATCACCTGTTCCTCTGCATCGATACCTCTGCAGTATTCTACAACATTGACTTGCACATGTGTTATGAAGTGCACATACGTGCTCAAAACCAGCTACTCCGTTATTGAGTTTACTTGGAGTAAGAGAGAACCAATCTCTTGCACAGCTCGCTCTGGTCCCCAGCAGACAAGCCATGCTGAATGCTGTTAGTTGAAGTATTAGCTGGAGATCCATATTCTAATCCATGTGGTGCTTGCCATGTTTGTGTCATATTTCTGGTGAGGCCTCCCTGTGTTGTGATCTTTATTAGCCCAGAAGGTCACGAGAACCTCTTATTAATCCTTCCTGCACATCACTTATTTTCAGACATTTTCATGGGAGCAGCGTGTGATGTGTAACACACTTTTGCAATGGGACTTCCCCTGTCACACATTCAACAGTGTATCTAGACAAGGAGAGTCACAGGTCAGGGCTTCTAAGACAGCTCCAGCCACCCAGAAGATCCCTCTGTGTAAGCGGTGTTTCTCTGTGTTAAAAGATATTTTACATCTGACTGGTTCACATGCAGCATACTTTGAGCAGAAAGCCTTCTGTAGTGACGCATGTGTTGGAGACTTCTGTTTCAGTGCAAACCCTCATCAACAACAGAGGAATGAATGTGGAGAGGAGCCCTGGAAAGAAGCTATGGACGGGGCCTCCTTTGTGAGCAGGTGCAGCTTCTCCTTATCTTTGGTGCCTTCAGCCAGCAGGGAGGTTGGGGAAGACTTGCAGTACAACTCAGAGCTTCCCCAGCACCAGGCCACTCTCAACACTGAGGAGCTAGACTGTGGCAGTGAGATTTCCCAGGAATTTCTCAGTGGAAAAAGTCATCACCAGTCGGGTGAATGTGAAAATGCTGCCAGCCACAACCTGAAAGTTGTTCAGTGTCAGGGTATGTGTTCTGCAGAACTGATTTGTGAGTGTAACAAATGTAGGAAAGTGTTTATACAAAACTTGAACATCATTCGACATAAGATAGTTCACACTGGAAAAAAGCCGTATGAGTGTAATGAATGTGGGAAGTTCTTCAGAAAAAGACGTGCACTCATTAAACACCAGAGATTTCACACTGGCGAGAAGCCATATGAGTGCAGACATTGTGGGAAGTTTTTTAGTTATAAGTCTACCCTCAAACAACACAACAAAGTTCACATAGGAGAAAGGCCATATAAGTGTAGAGAATGTGGGGTATCCTTTAGTCAAAGGCCTCACCTCAATGTACACCTCAGAGTTCACATTGGAGAGAAGCCATATGAGTGTACAGAATGTGGAAAGTCCTTTTGTCTAAGGGCTAACCTTGCTAGACACCTCAGAGTTCACACTGGAGAAAAGTTGTATGAGTGTAGAGAATGTGGGATATCCTTTCCTCGAAGGTATCACCTCACTGATCACCTCAAGGTTCACACGGGAGGGAAGCCATATCCATATGAGTGTAGAGAATGTGGGATGTCCTTTCGTCTAAGGGCTCACCTCACTGTACACCTCAGAGTTCACACTGGAGAGAATCCGTATGCGTGTAGAGAATGTGGGATGTCCTTCTGTGAAAGGGATCACCTCATTGAACACCAGACTGTTCACACTGGAGAGAAGCCATATAAGTGTAGAGAATGTGGGATGTCCTTTCGTCGAAGGGCTCACCTCACTGATCACCTCAGAATTCACAATGGAGGGAAGCCGTATGAGTGTACTGAATGTGGAAAGTCTTTTACCCAAAAAAATAGTCTTAGTAAACATCTGAGAGTTCACACTGGAGAGAAGTTTTAAGTGTGCGGGGAATGTTTAATTTGATTCACTTAGAATAACAACACTGATGGCGACTCTTTGGGACCTATTTTCCTGAATTTAAACCCCTTTTTAATGGAACATACACTCTGCTAGATTCCTCCTAAGTTTCTGGTACAAGTGAGGCTTGAAGGAGGTGCATTGCACTTGGTAAGATGCCCAGAACTAATACCTGATTGATTTGTGGCTGAAGAGATTTCACCTCTACCACCTAGCTCACCTGAAGACTGTGTATCAGTCCCAACCCCTGTGGCATCAGGGGACATGTATTCTGTGTTCTCACTTGTGCTTGAGAACATTATGATAAATACACTC